TATAAATATATAAATATATATATATATATATATATATATATATATATATATATATATATATATATATATATATATATATATATATATATACATATATATAACCTGATATAAAATACAACGCATGGTAAAAAAAGCATGGACATTCTTTAAAATTTCTCCTTTTGTGCTCCATGGAAGACACAGTCACACAGGTTCATAACAACATGAGGGTGAATAACAGATGACAATATGTCCATTTTCTCAGGGAGTGTTAAAGATTTAAAACACCTGTACTGTGTCGTCAGTGCAGATACCCACCTTTCAACCACCTCAATATCAAAACAGAAGCGCTTATCAATCGAGTCAGTCTTCCTCCTGATACAGGACTTCAGTCTGAACTTCTCTGTGGGATTTGACATGACACCATTCTGTGAAAAGAGAGAGACAGATAGTGAGGATCTGATGCAAACAGCAGCTATTTTCCTACAGATCACTGAAACATGAGCATCTTTGTACCTGTTTAGCAGTGGGTTTTGCCTCCGTGTTGCACATGCTGAAGGTGTTGCTGCCTTTTTCGTATGTACAATAATGTTGTGTCCATGCGCAACCCAAAGGTCCTGAAACACATACGAGATGTGCATAAGGCATAAGTGATATTCTTGCTTGGCAAAACATTTGTCATTTGCAGCTCCCATGCTCTAAAATTTTAACTAATAAATATATATATAATACTTTTAAATACCTATTGTGAATAGCACAGTTGAAAGATACCCCCCCGACCAAATATTACAAAATGTACTTTACAAACAAGAAAATAAATTTACAATAACACAATACATTATAGGTATGCAAGCAAATAATGGACTACAACAAACTCAGTTTTCCTATTTTAATTGGTTAAAGTACCTACAATTAGCTTTATTTATTTTAATTTTTAATACATTTATAGAATAATTTAGAATATTTATTTCAAATGTTTAAAAAAAGTGTGTATTTAATATGTATGTATACCTTTTATTTCTTTACTGGGATCATTTCATATGTTTGGATTTTAAAATCTATTGTTTTAAAATTATATTATACAATATATTTTTTTAACTAACTGTGTATCCATCCACCAGAGGGCAATGTTATCCTTTCCTAGACCAGGTCATTCACTGTCTTATCTGAAATTCTATAATCTAATTCTAAGAATGTAATCTAACTGTTTACATGTGGAGAGCAATTTAATTCTGGCATTTCCTCTGCAGTATGAAGGAACAGGAAAAACACAGGATGAGACCAAAGTGAGGTCACTTAAGGAAGATAAAAATGAAAACCAAATTAGACATTATATTAAAAAAAAAGTGACTGGTATGGAAGGCCATAGACTGTCTGTCCTTCTGTTTGCTCATTCTTAGTGTCTGAAAAACTGTAACACTCACGTTTCTCCTGGACATAAAGGTAGCTTTCCATTGTCCACTGGCCTGGGGGCTTCTGGTCTTGATCTGCAGATCGAACTCTGTTCATCAGCTTTTCTACTTCTTGCTTGGTGCTCAGAAAGTTGTTTCTTGTCTTCATCCAACAAATAAAAACACATGTACACAAACAGATCATAGGAACAACAACTGCCATTTTAAAATAGCCAATTATATTTAATCTGACAGACGCAAATACATTTAAAACCAGACATGAGACTGAAATAAGTATATAGTAATAGATATTTACAGCATACAGACATGCATAGGAAAGAGGAGCTCTGTTGCAAAAGATAATGATTTTACCATAGTGCATGATTTATACACAAGTCATTATAAAGGAGCTCCAAAGACTTGTAGTAGCAAGTCAAAATGATGTGGTTGCTTTTTTTTTTACATGCTTTTTGCTTGTTAACACAATCGGTTATGTTTAGTGTAAGCATTACTTCTAAAATTTTAGCGCCACTCATGAGGCATTTAATTCTATCCAAACAAAAGTCATCATTACAGAATTATAAGCCATGAACCAAACAGCTATGAAGTGAATCAACTTTGAAGCAAAAATGGATTTGAAAATCAGACAAAAAGAGACAATCACACAGATGATTGTGAATACAAAGAAACATTCAGGTGCACAAAGACTTGTGGTCAACACTGCCCTGTGACTTTTATTGAATAAAATATCTTCACTACTGAAAAGCTACACTTTACTTCTCAGGTGATAATGTTGATGTTTGAAATTTTGCACTGCAAACATCAATGTAGCTTTCCATGCTGTCAAGTGACTATGGTATAAGCGGGATAATCTACAGCAAGGTGTTTATTAAAGGGGTCATATGACAACAGACGTTGCTAAAAAGAACATTATTTTGTGTATTTGGTGTAATGAAATGTGTTTATGCGGTTTAAGGTTAAAAAAACACATTATTTTCCACATACTAGTGTTGTAAATACAACTTAACCACTGATTTCTAGTCGTGTCCTCTTTTGGAAGACCAAACAAATTAGTATCACATGGCGGGCTAGAGTGAGCGGAGGCGGGCGGGCTTGAGAACGGCGCGGCCGGCGGGCTTGCGGCAACCACATGTAACGACCCCGGGCTGGACTCCGCTTCATCCACGGTGAAAGCCAATCCGGAGATCTACAGCGCGAAGTTGATGTATTTCCTCAGCGACCAGCACGGATCAGCTCCAGGCATGACGAAGCGGATATTGTCCTCTTTTGGAAGGACAAACAAAGTAGTTTCGCTTTCACAATGAAACAAACAGAACACAAACACACGACATGGTGGCAGCAACAATACTACAGCGAGAATAAAAGTTACGCCTTCTTTCTTTGCGTGAACATTTGGGCGGCGTTATGCAAATCTTCCCACATCGTGACGTAGACATGTGGGGGCGTGTTAGAACGAGTCGTTTTAGGTAGGCGTGGTTGACTTAAATTTTATAAAGAATATCTCTTTGGATTTGAGACTTTAGTCTTTGCAACTTTACAGATCTTCTTTATGCACCAAGCAGAGCTTGTAACACTCCAAAGAGAAAGGAAAATTTTAAATTGCATCATATGACCCCTTTAAACGACTTTCTGGAATACTTGATTCTGATTGGTCAGTCACAACATTAAAAGATCTAAAGTTTCCTGATAATGACTGACGTCAATACCAACGCTGTATAACAGACAACTTTTGGTATCTGAAGCTGGCACTTCTTTTATCTCATATAACAACGCAGCCTCATTATCTCTTGTTCCATTCAGATTCAACTGGTGCAATAATAGTGCTGCAGTACCAGATGGATATGCATTAGCCTTTACTTAAGGCACACCTAGCCATGAATTATCATTTATGTATATATATATATATATATATATATATATATATATATTCATTTATGTACATACCAAGTGCATTCAAATAGTCTTTCACACTTTGTTGGAAAGAAATGAAAAGAAATGGCTTCATATCCTTCTTTTGTCCTCTAGAGTACTTACATCTCAGGCAAATACATCACTGTGAATTATCAATGCCACTCCTACAATATAAAAGGTGCATGTCCTGCGGTAATGAAATACTGTTAAGGCTAATGTCTCACGCTTTCGCAGCAGCGTTATTTCAGCGTATATATGCCGCAATGCTGACATAGTGCTGCAGCTCAGGTCTTTTGTGCTTTAGAACAAGCTGACATTTTGTGACACCACATCAGCTTTGAGTTTACAGTGACAGTCAAAGGTTAAAGGTCACAGAACCCAGACACAGAGATGCTGACGAGCAGCAGGAAGTGGTCAATATTGCCAATATTGATCAAAGACAAACAGTGCAGGTTACAGCATGAAAACAGAGGGCAAAATGGATGCAAAACTTTTTTATATGTGCCAGGCATAACATCATGTGGCTTTATAAATATTTTCAAAAGTAAAAACACGTTTTTTGGGTCAAAAGGAGGCTACAGTAATTGAAAAAATGAAAGAGAAGCTGGATGGCTCTATACTTACATTCTGCAGGTTAAACTGTAGCTGTTGTTTGTAGGGCTCAAATTCGTGGGCCAGCTCATAACCCTCATGGTAGAATGTGAACAGACCCTGTAGGAAGGACAAGAGCTGCAACCCCAAAGAGATATAAATACAGCAAGATGTAAATAAGTTTCCATCATATGCTTGTTGCACAACATATCCATCTCGTCCTCTTTCTCAGTGCAAACAGGGATTTCTCAATGTTTTGTGTCAGTTTGTAAATTCTGAAGTTTTCACATAACGGCTCAATCAAAAGCCTGACAAGTCCTGCACACAAAGTTAAGCGCAATGTTCTCTACAACAGTATTTTTCCTCATTAAAATTTAAGAAATAAATCAATCAATATTAATTTTGTGAAATGTGTGAAAATGATGTACACTCACTTGATATGAAGACTGTAGTTATCAGGTGCCCAATAAAAACCCCATGTTTAGTTTTACATGGAGAGGGTCGCCTCATGGGGGCAGCCATGTTGAGATCACATGACAAGACAAACACTACTTGCTTTATCTCTGTAAATATTTATATTATTGGATATTTTTGCTCACAAATATAAATTAATTCAGTAGCATTGGTAACTGAAAATGTTCACTTTTGCATGTTTCTGCATCCACACCACTAGGTGTCAGTACAAGTCAGACTTAGGGAAGAGGAGAAATGATACGATTTGATTTTCAGTGTTGGGGAAAGTTACTTTTACAAGTAATGCATTACAATATTGCGTTACTCCCTAAAAAAGTAACTAATTATGTTACTTAGTTACTTTTTATGGAAAGTAATGCGTTACATTACTTTTGCGTTACTTTCGCGTTACTTTTTAAATATGAGCAGGGCTTGATTGCTTTTAACATAAGAAGTTCTATTTATAGCAAATGTAAAAGCCCTTAACACCAAAAAGTGTAATGAATAAACCTCAGGCTGAAGGAAAAGTAAATTCACGTCTGTACAGTAGAATGCAGGAGAAGGTTCAACACTCTTCAGTAATAAAAAAAAACAATGAATCACAATTGTTAGTTTATCTAAAGTCATTTTTGCTTATTAGTATGGTTGAACTGGATCTTCAAAGGTCAGCAGCAAAGACACTGGTTAATAAAATGGGATTAGATACATTTGTGTTATTTAACATATTTAATTATTGCAGGTTTGCGTCATATTCTGTTTTAATTCATTTTGATGAATACTAAATCTGTTTTTTGTGAGTGGGATGAATTAATGCACATTCACATTTAGTCTAGAACTACAGTAACATCATGTTCACACAGCGCACACAACTCCTCTGTGCTTCCGATTTCTCCCAATATGGGGACAGGAGACTTGTCAGTCAATAAATGGGAAAACAAAGTAACTGGAGTTACTTTTTTGAAAAAGTAACTCAGATATTTTCTTGTAAATTAAAAAAGTAATGCGTTACTTTACTAGTTACTTGAAAAAAGTAATCTGATTATGTAACTCGCGTTACTTGTAATGCGTTACCCCCAACACTGATTTTTGAGAAAGAAATTAGAACCCTACAACCTCAAATGACTAAAAAGACATTTAGTTAATATACTAAATTAATCATTTAATAATTGAAAAAATTGTTGTTGCACAGACCTGATGCACACACTGTAAAGAATAATTTTTCAAAGCTGTACGTAAAAATAGTTTCTGGCACATGTTTTACAAGAAAATACCAGTCCTTCTATTTCAAAATTTCACGCTTAAATCAATGTGTTACTTGATATTTTTTGAAATTAGTTGTGACATTTAATAGCAATTTCTGAGTGAAAACTGGTTCAAAGCCATTTTCTTCAGTGTACGGTGAGTGCATTAAGTTAAGACTAATGTTCCATCTATTAATCATTACAGTTATCCCAGCTCTCTTATACTCGAGGCCTGTGCAAAGATTTGACTTTCTGATAGTGACTTTAGCAGAAGACTTCAAAGATGCTGATGTCACACCCTGAAACTCAAGAGCAGACCAGACTGCGGTGCTTCTGGGAGATTAACAGCATCGTTTTTTCCCATGCCAGGGGATAAACACTGGATGCTCTAGCTCACTTTACCGCTCACACTTATGCATATAAATATGCTCAGTGCAGAAACGAGTCATGCAAATTCTGTCCACTGTTGTAATATGTGAGGTCCAGCTGTTGTGTATATCACGCGATCTGTCTGCTGAGTGGAGATTTAGATGCTAAACATGAAAAGGGCTGAAAAAAAAGAACAGTAAGAGGTCTTCCTCTCAAACTATGTTTAACTGCAGAAAACGTTCAGTTATTGTTTTACTTTAAGAGGAAGGATCGATTTTGCTTCAATTTCTGCAATAATGTGAGATTTTCATTTCCTATTGGATTGCATTTAAATTGATATTTTTTTACTGACCAGTGCTGACCATGTTATGTTCACCCAAAAATGAAAAGTCATCATTCTGTCTTCATTCACTCACATTCTTTCTTCTGTGGAAGATATTTTAAGAAATGTCTCAGTGTTTATTTGTCCATTCAATGGAATTCAATGGCAACCAAAACTGTTTGGTTAGCAACATTCTTCAAAATACCTTGTCTTCCACAGATAAAGAAAGTCATACAGGTTTGGAACCAAATGATGGTGAATTTTCTGGGTAAACTGTACCCTTAATAGCTCAGGGGTATTGTGGGACAGGAAATGAGAGCTGAGGTTTGTAATTTGGCATGATAAGACAGTGAGATTACGATTCCAGTGGTCATAAACTGTCCAGCTACTACCTGTTGGCTACAAAACCATTACTGACCAGATGGCTTGATTCTCATTGCAGCACACTGCATGATGGGCATCTGATTTATTTTGCAGGATACACATTTGACTATATGTTTTGCGGTTGTGTGCGTAAGAGTGTGTATTTGTGTCTGAATATAAGAGGACATTTCATGCATCACAAAGATCTTACCGGCTCGACAAATTCAAATTTCTTCTTCTCTTGAACCTCCTGGATTTTGAAGACGTATTCTAGAGAGGCGTCATGAAAGAGTTGCCTTTCCTTATCAATCTGAGCGTCAGCCTGCAAACGAACAAAGAGCGCTGTTACCCTAGAGACGGAGAGAAAGTTATGGCTGCCAGGCTTGTTTGCTCATTTTGGGCTTTGGTTAATGGATACATGTGAGAATTTCTGGCTCAGCTTTGTGAGAATCTGTGTAACAACAAGCTAAACAAACGCAACTGAACAGCACGAAAGAAAAAAGAACAGGAACTGAAGCTTTTAAACGCTTGTTTTTAAAAGGATTAGTCATCCAAAAATGGAAATGTTATCATTATTTACTCATCCCCCTGTTGTTCCAAACCCATATGTCTTTCTTTCTTCTGTAAAACACAAAAGGAAAAATTCAAGCTTTCAAGTTGCAAAAAGAACACTAAGGACTATAAAAGTAGTTCACATGTCTTGTGTGTTATTATTCATTGGTTCCCATTCATTACAATTTCACGGAAAGAGCAGAATATACATTATTCAAATTCTCCTTTTATGTTTAACAAAAGAAAACAAGTCACACAGGTTTGGAATGGCATGAGGGTGAATACATTTTTAAATGAACTATCCCTTTAAATAATTACATCACCACCAATGTTGGCATCAAAAAAAGACAATATTATTGTAATGTATACATAATTTCAGTCTTGCAAGCGCTATTTGTCGCTGTTTTCGAGAACATTAAACAGAATTGTGATTGGTTGTCTTTCTTGCATATATCTAACCATTTAAACTTCTTTGTTGATTTTTTGTGAGTCTAGTGCAGTGGTTCCCAACCCTGGTCCTGGAGGCACCCCAACACTGCACATTTTGCATGTCTCCTTTCTCTGAAACACCAATTTCAGGTCTTGAAATCTCTACTAATGAGCAGATGACCTGAATCAGGTGTGTTTGATTAAGGAGACATACAAAACCGTGCAGTGTTGGGGTGCCTCTAGGACCAGGGTTGGGAACCACTGGTCTTGTGCACCGCAGATAGTAGTCATGATGGAAAGACACTTCTAATACAGCACTGCCTCAGAACTAAGACTAAAACCTAAACCTGAGTTCCCTATTATTCTTTTGATGCCATGTAAGCGTTGGTATTTCCTTCGGAAAATGCAAATCTTAGCCTTATTTGTTGAATGATTCACCTCTTGGAGAGCTGATTCTTTTTTTCTGGACGACAGGTTGAGATGTTTTTCCAGTGAGGAGTAGTACTTTTCCGCCTCCTTGTCAAATTTCTTCTTCCCCTCCTATGGAAAACAAATGGTTACTGGCATTGTATTAGCATATTTAAATAAGATCAAAAAGTCAGTTACGTAAACTGTAAAATTACCAGAGCTGTCAATTACCCCAAACTACTGAACAATGGTTAACACATAATACAAAGCCTTTCTCAGAACTGACTTTTTAGTGTTTTTTAGTGAATTAAGTCGGTCACACAAGTGTTCTATCAGAGCAACAACAGAATCACATTAACTAAGAACATGTTGCACTAATACTTGACAACAACAAAGTGTGTCTGTGATCTGCCTGTCATGCCATTAGGTGGCACTCTAATGCTTTATCACACAAACCCACTCCTGTCTTCCAATGAGATATGCAGTTACTGCTATAGAAACAGTTTAGCCCATAATTGATAAATTGCAAGTAAATAAATATATTGTCAAGGAAATGAAATGACATAAACCAAGCATAAAGACGATTATATACTTAATCATACATAGTTACAAGATAAGATTAATCTCTTTCTGTTCTCAGTAGACAGAGAAGAGCAAATCACACAAAACTCTTGAAAATATACACATAATCGCATTTACAGGCATTTGAATGCAGCTCTGAAATATCATCTAAAGTCTGTGGGTCAGTTATTATTAAGATTACATCCCCTGACTGATGCGTCTGTCAGATTTGCATTAGTCTAAATGCGGACTCATTAATGGCACAGGTAGTACCATAGACAGACTTCTGTGGAAATGCACACAAGAACTGTTCGTTCAAGCATACGAGAAAAAAAGTTTCAGCCAAGAGAATCAAATTACAGGAACACAAACTCACAAAGTATGCTCAATGTCATGGGTATTAAAAGTCAAGATGGTAGTTGTTGTTTTGTCATAATACAGTGACTTTTGAAAGGCCATCAATGCAGAAATGCTGTTTTGGCAGTACAATAGTATAGTTACACCATTGACCAACAGGGGCTAACTGGACCATGGTACTCTGCTAAACCCTGACCACTTGGCTGTGTCCAAAAGCTGAAAAATGCTGCCTCCGAAAGTAGCATATGCACGTCCAAATCCAATGATCATGTGACATCTTGTCTACGGAGATACCCTCATCAGATTTTTGTAAATGTATTAATTAAATATTCACTTAGTTATCACCAAAGCTATATCTATTGCTGCGTCTCAATGTGCCTACTTATACTACGCCCTTAAAGAATGAAAAAGTACACACTTTGTTTTGAGTGTGTAGTAGAAGAGTAGGCAAGCTTTGTGACATACTATCACGTCACACAACTGCGTCTTTAACTGATGCTCTGTCGCATAGATACACGCACCCTGTCACTGTAAACTGGCCTGTCAATCATCTTGTCACAGTTAACATCCTCCACATTGCATTTCATTTAACTCCCTACCGTATTGGAGAGAAAAGAAGTAGCACATTGATCTGCCAGTCGCGGGTCTTTCATGCTTTCATATTTTATGCATAATGATGCATTTAAAAGTTAACGACCAAACAGATGTTTATAAAAGTTCACATTGCTGTTGCAGATGAAATATAACACAGATAACATTAAATAAATATATATTTTTACCAGATTAAATGTTTAATTTTAGTAACTCGAACCGCTTTTTCTAAGTCTCTAACCGCCGGTCGCGCACATCCGCTATGTTTGTAGTTTTTTTACGCGTTTTATTCGTGTTTGTAGTTCTGGACAGAATCCTTCACCATAGCGCAATGGATTGTGGGCAATATTAGCTATTAGAGTGTGCACGGATCCACACTTCAAAAATCGACCTGAAATAGTAGACCATCCAGGGACTTTTGGCATACTCTTTTCAACATACTATGCTTTGGGAGACACTTATTCTAATCTCACATACTATTTAGGATGGATAGTATGAACATTGAGACGCAGGGTATTTTGTTGTAGATCATTAAGAAACCACACGACTGTGGACTTTATACTGACACCTATTGGTGTGGAGGCACCACTGCACAAAACTACACTTACCTGAAAATGTTACCTGGTGCACATTTTATAGGCTAGCTTTAGATGAAGAGTAACAGATGTGAATGATGAATTTAAAATTCAGATATCCATCTGCTTCTTCCATTCCCTGTCACAACTCACAAGATAACTAACTTCACGAGAGGAGATTTCCACACAAGAGAATCCACAACACTGAATCCTTCAAAAGGCCCTGACTCCATTCAGTCTCTTTTCACACCTGAGTTGTCTTGCCTGAGGCCTTTCACGCAGCGATGCAATACGTGGATTCTACAGTTATCGCTATATTCAAAGGTCATATGTAAATTTTAAAGTGCTCTATTTCTTTGCAGCAACTCAAGTTCTGTTCTGAGTGGGAGCATGGGAGATGACAGAGGGTTTGTTTGGACCACTGTCAAAAGAAGCAAGCTGGTTTATTTGAGGGCCAGGGTTAATGCAAGGCCTAGCTGGTTAATGCATGAGCATATATGTGATCCCAATAATTTTTAAGCACCTCAATGCAATTTCTATCAAAAAATGTGCAAATAATTCCAAATATGGAAGCACATTTTCTGAAGAAACGATATACAGAGAAACATGCATACTGAGCATACACAACATATTCTGAAAACTGCTATAGTTGTAGTCATAGACAGTCATGCAGTGAAAGGAAACGACTAGTAAAACTTGAGCTTGTGTGTATTTTCATTCTCATGGGCCCTCCATTAACCCTTTACTCCATATAACGGCTACTGATATGACGTAGTTAAACAGTGCGCTTGAACATTCTCACCACCACACAACATCAGTGACAAAATAATAACAGTCCTGCATCCACCGCGTTTCCAAATTCCTGACAACAATCAATAAATCATTTCAAGATTGTGTCTTTAGATGCTTCCTCTACTATGTCCAGAAAAAAAAGAAAATCGTTCCAGAGGAAACCGTAGTGTCTATATCCCGACTCCTATGGGATACGAGTTAAATAATAAAACAGACAAATAAATGAATAAATACATTAGATAGTGTTTTGACAACCAATAAATTTCCCCTCGGGTTTGTTTGCTTTATATGAGAGGATGACAGAGGAATACAATATACTGGATGTCTTGGCTTGATGACATGTTTTTGTGATATGAATACTGCAAAAACTTGACTGAAAGAAACACAGATTCTCTCTCTCCAACACGAAGATGCTGAGAGAGGGATAATAAGAGAAAGAGGAAAATAGGAGAATTAACAAGCTTGAAATGTATTGGGATTGCCCCATTACTGTCTTAAATCAATGGGATAACTCACTATAACCACTCACACTAGAAGTTAAAAAGCTTCAAAACAACCCAAAGAAATAAGCCAGAGGCTTAATCATAACCAGGCCCACACAAAATCTCGACAGAATTCATTCGTGTTTGTTTATTCCGACAATAATGGAAAATTTGATAAGAATTTATGCCATAAAAAAAAGACTGTAATACTAAAAAGTCTACAAATAACTTCAGAGCTTGTTTATAAGTAGGTCCATGCAGTATCTGCATTCAGAATCTAGATGAAAAAGTGGAAGTCTGCAAAACTGATTTGAATAAGAGTGAAATGTGTTACAGAGATACAGAGTACACTGCAAAAAGTGGTAACCTGCAATTGTTACGTTAAATATATATTTCTGCCTGATTTAACCCATATTAAAATTTGTTTGTATAAATTAATGTATTTAGGTTGATTTAGCTATATTAAATAATATTTTTGACTTGAATAAAACTTGGTTATTTAACTGTCACCATTTTTAGGTTACCATTTTTTACAGTGTATCAAAGGAAACTATAAATACATCATCTTACAAATTGACAATTAGATGTATTTTAAACATTTTAATGATGTGCAGTCACATGAGAGGAAAAATCATAACAGCGACCTAAAAAAAGGTTATTTTTACCAGCAGTAGGTCATGGGGCAGCCATGTTGAGATCACATGACAATCTCTACTAATAATTCCATAACAGCAATAGATAGAACAAAATATAAAATGACTGACTGACTGACTGTCAACACAAAATGGCACATTTCACACATTTGCCATAAATATAACTGTTCTAAAGGACGTTGCAGTTTCATTCATATCAGTAGCAAACTCTGGTCCACAACCAAGTTCGGAAAATAGAGATTATCATCCAAACTAACCAAACTCTGGTGTCAATGAACAAGGGTGTGCAACAAAAGTGTTAGTATAAAAGCATTCCAAACATAGGGGATAAATATAATTTTGCCAATTCATATTTAATATCTCTGGAAATGTGGTGCTTCTACAGGAACAGAATCAATGCAGGGCTACACATAAGGCGCTGAGATGCGCTACCCAGTGTGATCCTCTTCTGTTGCTCCAGCAGGGTCTCCGCTGACCATCAGGGCTTTGTTTCAGACTTTCAACAATTTACTGCCGTCCTCTACTGGGATGACCTCACGTGACCTCTGCTCACGGGGGCAGTGTGAACTGCAGCCAGGTTAAAGACCGCTGTGCAACGGATGGGGCTCTGCATGACGGACAGACTTCAGACCCCCCACAGTGTGACAAAAAAAGCCAGGCAGACAAACATATGTGCATGAGTGCACACACACATACTCACAGAGAATCCTGGAGCCTGCGGAGCCACCTGGCCAGACGGGCTGATGGCACCGATTTTGAGCGATCACTGCCTCAGATGCTGACAGCTCCAAGGGGAAACAAACCAACACCCCCAGGGGTGCACTGCATAAACAGCCCAGGACTCTTTATTCTTTCTCTCTTCTGCTTTTAGAAGACATTAGCCAATATTCAGATCTCTGAGCTTGGTGCCAAATCTAAACAACTGTGATGGAATGTACTGCCATTGCTTATTACATTATGATATGAGTTCTGCGAATAAATATGATAGGATCAACTTACTAAGTACCAGAAGAGGAGAGAAGAGAGAGAAAGGACTGAGACAAGATGAGAGGAAAGGACAATATGAGTGAAGGAGACAAGAATACAAGATGAGACAAGAAGAAAGGCAGAAACTAGAGAAA